ATATTGATAAAAAATAATTATAAAAAGAATAAAAAAGACAGTATCAATTCGGATCAGAAGTTATGTACTGAATTGATAACATACAGTGTGTAAAAGCCAGGGTATTCACAATTCTGAATCTTGAACCGCCCTGTATTTTCCACAATTAAATGTCAGCAGATAGTGAATCGAACTTCGAGATAGGGTCAAGTGAGCAGCTTTGACCAATGATGAATAGTTTCGACACAAAAAAATCCTAAAGTTGAAAACTCTCGATTTTGAACACCCTATAGCTCTGTAATCATTGCCGCAAGATCTCAAGTGGGATGCATTGATGAATTCAGCTCTTGGGGGAAAATCTGAAAATGCGATGAAATACAGGATGTTCCATTTTGAATAACAAAGTTGTTGCAAATTTTCGTTAGAAGCGGCAACGCCTTAGAGCTGAAAATAAAGATGTCCCCCTTGAAAAAGTAGTTGACGTGTTTCGGGATTTTTTATAAATATGTAGAGTAACCGAAATAACGAATTTATTCAATTTGGCTTTTACACACTGTATAAACCTAAATGAATAAGAGTATTTCGTCAGGAGCTATAATCTTTAGCTAGATATTCTTGAACACAATAATATGTTTCTTTGATGAGATGTTGTTTCACATCAGATCTCCTAAAATGAATTAGAGAAACAATATTTCTGAAATCGACTGGAGGATGGTTATATATATAATTTGACAGCATTATAAATCAATGACTCTTTAGTAGAGCTCGTCGATGGAATAGGGAGTCTCAAATTGTTGAATTGGCGAGTAAAACTTACAACCTCATCAAATGACGATTTATTGTTGTGAAATAAACATACTGTTCCGAAAATGAAGAGGCACGGAAGTGTTAGGATTTTGTGCTCTCAGAACATAGGTTATTTGCATGATACTCTAAGTGCCACCTTGTAAAGGTATCGAATAGCCCGCTTCTGCAGGATGAAGATCAAAATTCTGTTCACTGCAAATACCTCAGAAAGGTATTCCATATCTCATGTGTGAAACAGAGCATGGTATATTAATTTGGACGTGGTCATGCCTAGTTCTCTAGACACTATCCGCAACGCATATAACACCCAGACGCCAATTTTTTACTCAAAAGTTTCGCGTGATTTTCAAAGTTGTGTGAAAATAATGTTCAATTACTATAGTTAGTACATAATGCGTGTTGTAAAGCAAATACTCTTGAAATTTTTCCAGTCGTGCATAATATACAGTGTATGTGATTTCAACCCGCAACACCCTCATAATTTGAAGCCGGTCGGCCAATTTTCAAAAACAATAATTCCATGATATTGTACTCAACGAGCTCTATCCGGTAATGTAAACGAATATGAAGTATTCGGATTTTCAAGGCCTACTTCCTTTTGTTGGAGGAGTCAAAATGTCAAAAAAGACTATAAGGCAATTTTTTTCGAAACAGTGACTAGCCTATTCCATTCAACCATACGAAATTCGGGAGGAATATCATTTCCCACTTTTTATTCATGGAATTTGTAATGGGCGAGAAAATATATTTATATATTATATTTATTTATATAATTTATATTATGATGAGTCATAAATAATATGAATAATAGAATACAATAAACCACATTGTATCATAACCTCAATCAGAATCAGATACAAATCAATCAATACAGTGAACTCGTACTACTGATAAATAGACACGATATTATTTGTTGCAAAACCAATACCATCATTATCAACCCAGATTCTTTCGCTCAGAAAATTGTACTATAATTTCGTAAATTGATTGTCAGCTCTGATGCAAGACCGACTGTTTCGGCTATCCAAGACTCATCAGTTGCACTAGGGCTGCTGACAACCAATCCGCGAAAGTTAATTCTATATTTACAGCGTTTCTTACTTGAAATTGCCCTCACCATATCACAGCTATTAGTTGTACGATTCTTACCAAATTTGGACGATGCAATTTTTGATATGAAAATCACAGACGAAGATAACTTCGCTTTTGGGTGTATGATAAATTGACATTCATCATACAGGGCGTGGAGATAATATTTCCCATATCACTGATATGAATGATCATTTTTGGAAGTTTTCAAGCTCATCAAGATCAGAGTTTATGCCAGTATACGTCTCCTATACATTCCAATTTTCATTTCAATGCTGAATATATTGGTAAGTTATATTTCTATATCATTATACATCATATTATTCATCCGATTTGAAGAAGAATGTCAATTCTCAATTTCGGAAGATTTTATTCTTTATTTTTTATGTTCTCCTTTTGAATGTTCATCAGATATAATTCAATGTTCGACGAGGCAAATAGCCAGGAAAGTAGTTGTTTTCTGTTGAATATTCAGAATGAGGTGTGCATATACATATTTTTGTCTGAAGGAGAATGCAAATTCTCAATTTCAGAAGTTTTTATATTTTATTTTCAAACTCTTATCGTGTGTGTTCAATAGATATAATTCAATGTTCGTCGTGGCATATAGCCAGGAAAGTAGTTGTTTTCTATTGAATCAACTGAGAAAGAGTAAATATTCTCATCACATAGAGAATGCGAATTCTCAATGTATTGCTTTATATAAATATATATCCAATTTTGTATGTTCATAATTTATCTGAGAATATTCCTTTTCAACACGAAGATAACTTCATTCTGAAATTGAATAATTGCTTTCCCATCTATCAAATTCACTTTTGAATACGAAATTAACGGACAATTACCATTCTTAGATGGTTTTGTGATCAAAAATGGTGAAAACAACTCAGAATTTGATGTTTCAAGAAAAGAAATTGACACACTTAGATACGTAGGAAATAAATCAATAAGTGGACATAAATTTAAGTAATACTTCGGAATTCTACGACTTTCTCAAGCGGAGAAAAACAATTCAAGAAGATTCCCAATCCCGTTAAATCCCAAGTGCACGAAGGGACTCAGGCAATTTATTAGACGATCCAAAAGATACGGTGGACAAACTTGATAAGTCAGGAATATACGAAATGAGTTATAATGATTGTGATGAAACATATACAGGCCAAACCAGGCGACCCATTGAAACAAGACTCAAAGAACACCTGGCACATTTGAAATAAGAATATAGCTCTCTGTATAGTTCAGTAATATGAGATTGAGGTGAACATAATATGAACTCAACCATGACAAACATTAACGTCGTTTGGGTGGACATAATTCAATAGAATAGAATATTGATGGTTTAGAAGCAATACTGTCTATGCTGTCGGGTTGTGAATATCAAAATGTATTCACCTTCAATGAATAGTATCGTATTCTGCAAGAATGTTGGAGTTATTTCATCAGAATGAAACTATGATTGATGTGATGAAATCATTTGAAATATTCTATTTCAAGTAATGAACAATCTCTTATGATTCACATATGTGGTTCAAAAACTTACCATATAATATATTGATTACTCAAGACTTCTTTTTTGGTTGATACGTGGTATTACTATGAGGTATATAAGAGTGGAATTGATTGTTTCTATTAGTCCAAGCACCACGTGACTTCGCACAATGTTGCCAAGCATGTTAACGAACAAGAATCCGTAAAATCACGATTTTGATACTTTTGATGATACGTGGTATTACCACTAAGCCATCGATATTCAGTTTCAATCTTCTCCTGATGGTGCTGAAATAGTGACAAGTGTCGAGGCGTATGAAAAATCGGTTTGGTTAGTGGTGATACAGTGTAGCATGAATTTGGACTGATATAAGAATAACCATCCATTTGATCAGTTTTTCAGATACAAACATCATTATCGACAGTGCCCTGAGTCATTATTGAAATAAAAATTGTAGATTTTTTATTAAGTTACCAGGATTGGCTTTATTTTTTCATTGTTTGCCTGGAACAAATGATTAATTCAAATTGATTGCCAATATTTGAACTTTCGATGGCCCCTGTAGGTATAGGAAATACTGTTATGAAAGAGAAAACAAGATATATATACCTACTATTTTTGTTGAACTCACCGTTTTCTGGTGAATGATTTTTCATCTTTTCTGTTTAGATGTGCTTGTTTTTTTGGAAACTCTCCATAGAAATTACATGAAAATTCACATATGGGTGTTCGAAACCATAAGCAACAATATTATGCGGTTAGTTTTTCCGAAAAAAAAATGCCTTATGTGATTTCATCAAGAATCGAACCCTATTTATTCCAATAAGAACGCATCGCACTATCCAAAATGATGTTCTTCTCTGAAAAACTGATTATATCGACTGTTAGCGTTTCAAGCGACACACGCTGTATATACACCAAATCATAGCCAACAATGGGCAGGAGGACAATCTATAGCCTTTTGAACTATCCAACCTAACCTAACTAGTCCTGAATGAACTTTCTTTCTAGGAAGTATATTTTCCGTAAAACCACTTGAGCGAACCAAAGAGACTACTTTCCATTCTAACCTCATTCGGCCTAAATGAACCTTCTTCCTTGAAAATATGTTTTTCGGAAAATTACTTGAGCGAACAAAAGAGACAACATTTTTCAAACATCTCTTGAATACTTTCGAAATGCATTTTCATGTCATTGAGTCAGCCATAAAAACAATTCTGTTGTTGACATCTAGTGTGTTTTATAAATTGATCTCTAAAATGTTTTCATAGCTGGAATAAAAATATCTAATAAAACAGTCTTCGAATCATTTCAGAAGAATATTCATAGTCGTCTCATAAAACATTTCTGCCTATAAAATTGAATTATTTTTTAGTTTCTTTCATGTGATTCCGGCGATATTTCTAATTTTGGTATAAATATATTATAAACTTATTTAATTATTACTTCCTGTGTCCTCGATGTTTCCTTGAACAACAGTTATATAAGAGTTCCTTCAGAAACAATTCCGATTTTATGAGAAAAAATTGTTCTGGTGACCACTTCATAACTATTTATAATATTCATTCCTATTGCAAAATGAAAAGCGTAACAAATAAAATGATATTTTGTTAGACTCACTCAAACTACCTTATTTCAAACAAATGTTTTATTCCCTTGATAACCAACAACAAATCTAATAATCCTAATAACAATAGTTAAGGTTTTGAACGCTCGATATGTACTGTCCGCTAACCGTCCGATATCTCGATTTACCACCGATCTTCGTTGCGTAAGTCATAGTATATGAATCAGTCGTCCGATTCATACATCCTCTACCGACATACCAGGTGTCTCACAGTCGGCCATAGCTACCAACTCCTCGTCTCGAGGAATGTATATGTCATAAGGAGCCATCCCATCAAACTTTCCTACCTAGAACAAAAGTGCAGATTAGTTATCGACCCATCATTGTAACTAGCGCCAGCTGATAACGTGATCGTTTCACGTGTGCAGCAAGGCACCAGGAAGCATTATCCTTCATGCGGCTTGAGCTTACGCGCACGTAAACTTCGTCTCCGTGTAATCGTATTACGCAGATCAATGTCCTCTGGTTGAGCAACACCATGGTTGCGGTATGACGACAGGTGATCGTATTCCCTGTAATCACCGTCTTTGTTTTTCCTGATGGTACCCCTTTGACCATCAATCGTTTGTTGACCCTTCTGTGTTCGTTTCTGAGAATTACTTTCCACTTTGGACTGATCCTCTTCGATATCAACTATACTTTTAGTTTCATATTGCTTCTTCTTCGTAGGAGTACTTTGTCCTCTAGGAGCACTTTGCCCAGTGAGAGCACTTTGCCCTATGGAAGCACTTTGCTCGGTGGGAACTCCTTGCTCTATGAAAGCACTTTGCCCTGTGGGAGCACTTTGCTCTGTGGGAGCACTTTGCTCTGTGGGAGCACTTTGCTCTGTGGGAGCACTTTGCTCTGTGGGAGCACTTTGCTCTGTGGGAGCACTTTGCTCTGTGGGAGCACTTTGCTCTGTAAGAGCACTTTGCTCTGTGGGAGCACTTTGCTCTGTGGGAGCACTTTGCTCTGTGGGAGCACTTTGCTCTTCTTCAGTAGAAGTCTCCATACTATCCCGTCTCGTCGTGAACGGCTTCATTTTATCCACGGCACAAATACCACGATAGGGCAGTTGCGATCTCTCCGCTTGCGGCATATCCTCTATGGCATACCTGTCGTGATCCAATACAGCGGTAATCAAATACGGTCCGCTATACTTCGGTAGAAGTTTCCTGCTTTTACCATCATTGGATCTGACTTTCTGTTTAACAAGTATTTGTTGTCCTATTGAATATTTGGTTGCTTTCCTGCGTTTAGCGTCGTATCTCTCTTTCTGCTTCTCTTGTGATTTTTTTATGCTGCTTTCCGCGGTCTTTCGGATATCTTCAATCTTTTCACTTGGTTCAGAAATTTGTACTTCGTTGGTCAGGAAAGAATGGACTGAACTTTTGGGATTATATCCAAACATGAGTTCATGTGGAGTCTTTCCTGTCGCCTTCTGAACCGACGAGTTTATTCCAAATTTAATTCTACCAATAGCTTCGTCCCACTTTGACTCATCATTGCAACTTGCTGCTAACGATGATAGTATAGTCCTGTTATATCGTTCAACTTGGCCGTTTGCTCTCGGTGTAGCTGTCGCATTGTGGACCACTTTGATTCCACATTGTTTGGTATGTTGGTTGAATGCCTTGCTCGTAAACGCAGTACCCAGATCACAAATAATTCGTCTTGGGACTCCGAACGTTTCGAAAATGTCCTTGAGAAACTTTATGACTGGACCTGCCTGGGTATTCTTAACTGCTTTCACAAATACGTATTTGGTAAACGAATCTACGCCCATAATAATATATGAGTTTCCCGTTCGACTCTTCACAAAAGGACCGAGATGATCTATGTGAATCGTATCCATGGGTACAGCAATTTTTTCTATGGGCTGAAGAGTACCAGGGCGCTTACCTGCTGGTTCCTTGTTGTAACTACAACTAAGGCAACAACGTATGTGTCGGGAAACATATTTTTTCATGCTGGGGAACCAGTAGTTTTGCCGTATAAGAGACAACGTTTTGTCGGTGGAAAAATGACCAGCTGAGTCATGACAATATACAGTGATAGCATACCGTCCTGATTTTGGGACGACCCATTTGAGGCCCATAGACGTGACCTTATACACCCTGTTGTTATTGAGCACATACTCTTTGTGAATCTCTTCCTCTTCTTTATCTTCGGGATTCTTTGATAAGACTTGGTGCAGATATTGACAACGTTCGTCGCGCAACTGAGTAGCTAGCACCCAATCGCCTTCCGTGATGTCAATTGTCAGGACGTCTACTTCATGGTAATCAATTGGTTCGTCCACAGGGTTTCTGCTCAAAGCATCTACGTGAGCCATACGGGATCCTGGTCTATATTCAATGTAGAAATTGAATTCTTGAGTAATCATCCACCAACGACCAATTCGAGGTATTAGGTCTCTCTTCGATAACGTAGTCCTTAGGGCATTACAGTCGGTGATCACCTTGAACCGAATCCCCAGCAGGTAAACTCGAAACCTTTGCATAGAACTAACTACGGCCATCGTCTCTAGCTCATACGAATGATATCGCTGTTCCTCCTTACTTGTTTGACGACTGAAGTACAATACAGGTTTGAGTTTATCATCCTTCTGTTTTTGTAACAATATTCCCCCAACGCCCCATTTGGATGCATCTGTATGAAGCTCCGTCTCTGCTGCTGAGTCATATATAGCTAGTACCGGTCTTGAGCTTAAAATGTCACACAGCTTTTTGAAGGACAAAATTTGTTCTTCCTTGAAACTAAAGATCGCGCCTTTTTTAGTCAGCGTCGTCAATGGTCTAGCTATCTGAGCAAAGTTTTTTACGTATTTACGGAAGTAGCTAGCTAGGCCCAAAAACTGTCTCACTTCATGGACATTTCTGGGAACAGGAAATTTCTTCACCGCTCCTATCTTGCCAGGAGCAGGTCGTATGCCACCTTCACTAATTTCGTGTCCAAGGTACTCAATGGTGGTCCGAAAGAAGTGGCATTTCGATAGCCTAAGCGTCAGACCAGAAGATTCGAATAAATTGAGAACCTCTTCCAAACACTTCAAACCACTCAGTACATCTACTGAAGGTAACAAAATGTCATCCATGTAAGCAAGGGCTTGGGTGAACCGCATGGCTCCCAGAACATGGTTTATAGTTCTTTGAAATACTGACGGTGCATTCGTCAGCCCAAATGGCATGCGAAGATACTGATAATGACCGTCAGGTGTTACAAAGGCCGTTTTACCAACAGATTCTTTCGCCATTGGTATCTGATGATACCCGCTCGCAAGGTCAAGAGATGTGAAATATCGACAACCCTTCAGACGTTCTAAATGGTCGTCTACACGAGGTAACGGATAGCAGTCTCTAACCGTTTTAGCATTCAGTGCTCTGTAATCGACGCACATTCTTGATTCGCCGTTTTTCTTTTTCACCAGTAGAATTGGTGAAGCGTATGGTGAATTCGACTCTTCAATTATCCCATTGTCTAGGAGATCCTTTACAAGACCCCTTACTGTTTCTCGTTCGCTCACTGATAGACGGTACGGCCTGTAAGTCACCGGTCGGTCATCATGAAGGTGAATTGTCATTTCGGATGTTCGCACGATACCCAATTCGCTGAGATTTTCTGCCACACAATGTCGATATTTATTGAGCAAAGTTAGAAGTTCACTCTGCTCACTGGCACTGAGATCGCAATCACAGTTCAAATCTGACATGCAAATTAACCGTTTATCAGAAACAGATACATTAAAAACACTTACCCCTTCCGTATCAGAGACGTTCTCAGAGCAGGGTACACCTCTGGCAACAACTTCCTCCATCTCGAACCGCAAAGGTGAGTTGGACGCATTGAGGACTGGCAGGACACCGCTAGTAGTGGAAGTAATGCATCTGGGTATGAAGTGTTCTTGAGAAGGTTTTGGTCTTTCCTGATAATCAACGAAAATATCACCTTCATATTCATTCGAAGCCTTGAACTGCACGTATCCGATATGGTTTGGAGGAATCTCTATGCCCCTAGAAATAACCATATCCATCTTGCTCGGAGGTAGCTGTTCTAATTGCGGGAGTTGGGCAATGTCCGAGTGGAACAATCGTACTCCACCATCCTTGACTACTAACACCACATTTTCTTTATTGAACAACGTTTGTCCAATCATGACAGGAACATCTTGGACTTCGTTTGGAACAACGAGAGCTTGAACATCAGTTTCGATTAAATCCACTTCGATCTTCACAATGGCTTTCCCCAATGCATTCGACGTTCCGCCAGCATACCCGTTAATCTGTAAAACACAAGGTTCCCAAGCAACACCAAAGTGTTCGGCATTTTCTTTTCGTATAGTTATGACGGAACATCCGGTATCTATGAGTGCTTGAGATGAATAGCCATTGACTTTACATGGTACAATATAGTGCTCATTGTTTTTTGTTGGGATAGTACAATTCATAACCCCTTTTGAAAGAGGTGCTTGCTTGCGGGGGCATTTTGCCTCAACGTGTCCCAAACGTTTACAATACCTGCATTCTATACGTGGTTTTGAGCAATTTTTACTGATGTGCCCTAACTGACTGCAGTTGAAACACTTCAATCCTTTCTTCGATTGGTTTTCGTAATTTGGCACTGACGCTGAGAATCTTTTTTGATCCTCCTGACCAACTCTAACAAACTTTTTGTTTCTACCTTCACCGATCTCGAGTCGTGGACTTTCCACTGGCGCAAGAGATGAAAGGTACTCAGTATAAAGCGTCTCTGGATTGGTGTATCGTCCGGCTTTTGCGCCATTTTGAATGACACAGTCAGTGATTCCATCTATAATCATTGCCACTGCATTTTTATCTGCTATACTGGAAGCTCTGAGCAATTCCATTTTGGCGAAATAATATTCTGTCCAAGTTTCGGACGACCTCTTATTCCTAGCAATCATTTTTCTTAGTGTAGATGGAAAATCGCGATGATCTGGAAATGCTTTTTCGATCAACAGTTTCCATTCTATCCACGAATGATCATATTTATCCAAGCTATTATACCAAGTTTTGGCTAGCCCCGTCAATCGAGACTGCATATTATAAATTTTCAATTGATCACTCCACCCATTTATTTTACCAATTTGTTCAATTTTGTCTAGCCATTTTATTGCGGAAATTTCAGACTTGCCAGGGCAAAATTCGGGAATGCAATCAGCGCGAACGACTGAATGAGAGGAATGACCAGCATTTGTATTTCTAGTCAAAATTTCAGATAACATACCTTCAAGTAGTTTTATCTTTTCGTTTTGTGTTCTTACTGTATCAGATTGGTCTTCGTATTGTTCAGTTCCGCCGTTTCGTGAAGTGTGTCCATGAGCAGTTGAAGAATGCAACATCGCTGGCACCTGTGATTTGCTATGATCTTTAGGAGGACGTGTACCAGATGTATTATCTCTTGTTGAAGGTTTCTTCGATTTCCTTCTGGAACGTCCACTTTGACGGCGATATCGTCCGTAATCGTTATCAGATTCAGATTCTGAAGAAGTATCTCGCCTTTTCGATTTACGCCCCATGTTCACCACACGATAGTCACAACACGATATTTCCTCGGATATTTCACACGAAAATAATTTGTTATCAATCCAAACTGAACACCAGTCACTTCGAATTGAGCGTTTACATCCCGCCGCTGCACTGTTAGACTCACTCAAACTACCTTATTTCAAACAAATGTTTTATTCCCTTGATAACCAACAACAAATCTAATAATCCTAATAACAATAGTTAAGGTTTTGAACGCTCGATATGTACTGTCCGCTAACCGTCCGATATCTCGATTTACCACCGATCTTCGTTGCGTAAGTCATAGTATATGAATCAGTCGTCCGATTCATAAATCCTCTACCGACATACCAGGTGTCTCACAATTTCTAATCAAAAATGAATATCTTGCCAATTTTATCGCTAACTACATAAAAAAACATGTATTCAATAATCATACCTCCAGCTACCATGAGCAAGTTATGTGTGTTGTGTGATGACAAATTATGATTTCACAAATACGTCAATTAAAAGAGATAACAAAATTCCTTAGGTTATTTTTCATCGATGTTTTGGTTTTGTCATTGTTTCGTCGTACGCAAACGTTGACCACCAAATAATAATCATGAATATCATAAAAATACCAAATGATGGTATTGTTGAGTATACAGTTCCATAAGAGGGGCCAAGAAGTTTTATTGTAGACAAATAAGAGTTGCCTGATAGCTCTGTCCTGTCGCAATGCTACCAGCAAATTTCCGATATTTTATAGAAATTGCATAGAAGCTGAATTATTTCATAATGCTCGTCAACAATGTTTTTCTGATTTATAAGGATGCGCTATTGAAAAATGGCAACATTTGGGATATTGAAAATGACAAGAGTTAGAAATAGTGATAAAATCATATTTGAAATGACATAGCAGCTCATAAAATTTTCAGAAATTGTTTCACAATGATGTTTAGAAGTGATTAAAATATTTATAATTAAAATATTCAATCTCTCAGAAAATAATCGAGCCGGTTAAGCTCATTTCTCAAACTTTTCTTTTTTATAGGAACATCCATACATTGTTGAAGCATGAAAAATTTGTTAATATTATACCATGTATGTTACAATGAAATTTCAATCCCATCAAGAAGTTCCGTCTTTATATCACAAACAATGTCCTTTTTGAATATTGAAGTTCTGAGTGAACCTACTGGGATGGCTTCCTTGTAAAATATATCAGAGTTATGATATTTATACATTTTTGTTCATTGTGACTGCTTTTTACTATACTGAAAAAAACTTACATTTCATCTGAGTATGAAAAGCTTCTGTAAATCTTTTTTATAATGTCAGTGCAGAGATTTCGTTAAAATCGCAGAAAGCGGAGCAGAGAGTGAAGTATTTCATGAAATGGATAATTGTCTGGTCCAAAATGTTCTCGCAACTTTTATAAAATATGAAATTGTTACTTGGGATGTGTACAACCTTCGAACGACCAGAATACTCTCCGTGACTTCCATCACTACGTGGACCAACGCGTGGATTCACCCAGCCAAAAACTAATATCAACCCTCTGGTAATCCGGGTACATATGACCATTATTGTACCTAAACCACGCCGATGGTGAGAGCCTCGATGACTTCTACTCGCACAAAATAAATGCACTGTTTGGTTTGAGTTTGAATGATCACGCACAAATCAAGATATCATTGGACAACCTTGAAACGGACGAGAATGTGCAAAATGAACCTCTGCCAAATGCCCGAAACTGCATAGCCCCTTAATTTATTCATTTTCTGATTCAACACAATTATTTCATTTATTTCGTTCTAGGTGACAATTTCGACAGAATTGGGAAAAGTAGTTATGAGGATGCAATTGGAACGATCAGAAGTGGCATTCAATATGTTCACTAATGGTTCATCGAAGAGGTAAAATGATTCTTCCTTATATAACACAATATATTTCATCTACTCAAAAAATCGGAAATTGGAGTTTGATACCTCATTTGAAAAGATACTGCTGTCAATTTACTTCCATAAGAAGTAAAAAAATAATACCTTTTATGGAAGGTGAGATAAATTCGCTTCGGCTTGCTTCTTTGGCGTGCAATCCAAATATAATCCATAACATCACCACTATCAAGTTTAAAACACATAAGCAATTCATCTTTGAATTATATTGATCTCATACACTTCGTTATATTCCAAAATGTAGTCAAATGTATCAAATTAATTTTCATTGAGAAATAGGCAGGAAGGACTTACCTAGCAACTACAGACCGATCGCACTGCTATCTATTATTTCAAAGATCATGGAGGAAGCTATCAACATCGAGCTCATGAAATACCTGGAACATTCAGGTATTATCAACGATAGGCAATATGGCTTTTGTCATCAGAGATCAACTGGTGACCTGCTCACTTACGTCTCACATATATGGCAGCAATCTATTGAAAAATATGGTGAAACCTCAACCGTGGCACTTGATATCTCCAAAGCATTCGATCGAGTCTGGCACCACAGACTCCTCGCCAAGCTCCCATCTAATGGCTCGCCTCCCCAGCTATGTTCTCTGCAAGCTAGTTTCCTCTCAAACAGGTTTCTCCATGTAGTGGTCGAAGGAGTTTCATCTGACTCTCTTACCATAAATGCTGGTGTTCCGCAAGGATCAATTATAGCACCAACACTATTTTTTTAATCACAATAGATCTTCTAGGTCGCAGTGATCGGGAGGTCTCTCAGCCTATACGACCCATCTACAATCTACAACACTATTTTTACTCCATATCAACGATTTGTTGAAAGCAACTTCATGTGCAGTACACAGCTTCGCGGATGATAGTACCCTCCATACCGCCTTCTCTTCCAGGGCTCCTATACCAGCCAGGCAAATCAGAAACGAACGAGGGGGAAATGTTGGCAACATTGATATGGAATTGGCAACAATTCTCGAATGGGAATCCAATAACTTGGTTGGTTTCAATGCAAACAAAACACAAGCATGCCTTTTCTCTAGAAAAGCCGACCTCACTGTGCCAAACCTAAGCATGTCAGGACTAACCATACCTTTGAAAACATCCATTTCGATGCATAGTATTACTATCAGCAAGAACCTTTCTTGGGAAAATCACGTGAGATCAATCGCGGAAAGTGCATCCCAAAAACTTGGTTTTCTGTTTCGGGCCAGGAGCTTTTTCACTTCCAGTCAGCTGATTATGATCTATAAGGCACAGATTCGACCTGTCCTGGACCCAAACATACCCTCACACTGTTGGATTCTGTCCAAAAAAGGGCAATTCGTCGCGTGGGTGATGCCTCGCTCACAAAATCACTCACTTCTCTGGAACACCGTAGAAGAATTGGCGACCTGGCTCTATTTTATAGATATTTTCATGGACGTTGCTCTCCTGAAATATCAACAAGTGTACCTTCCTTGGCAGTCCTCGAGAGATTAACCCGTCGAGTTGAGGCTTCGCACGCCTTTGTGCTCAATTTGGAAGACCTGCAGAACATCTCTTCCCAAAGACTGTTTCATCCAAGAATCAGCGAGGCTCTGGAACACATTGCCAAGGGATGTGTTCCCCGAGGCAAATAACCTCCAAAAATTCAAGAAGAACACCAATTACTAACTTATTTTCCTTGGTTCTCACGATGTTCTCTGAACATTACAGGATATCCCTTTTCGTGGGAACCAGAACATAAAAAAAGACCGCCTAAAGCACAATTTGAATGACTCTTCAACTATATACGTTCGTGGATAAAATCATACAGTGTCTCCCAGCTAGAACTTGTCGACCCTTCAACTCCGAAGTCGTAAAAAAAATAGAATCGCATCCATTATATGTATCATCATAGTGCTGTCAACACCCCAATTCCCAGCACAACCTATATCAGAATTTCCAGTATTACTACTATACATGTGATACATGATTTTGAAGAAAATTCAATACCAAATACATCGGTGTGATGAATTGAAGAACGATCAAGTTTTGTGGAAGTTCTGATGAAAACTAAGTTTCATCAGGATATTTTTTATTCTCATTACCTGAAATGATGTCATCTTTTTTAAAAAGGTTCAACCAATTCTTACCACCCGAAAAAGTACGAGCGATTTTCGAAATGTATTCACACATTTCTCATATTTTATGTATTCATCAACTTATAAATGGTATAAACTTTTGCACCCATAAAAAAAGTCAAACGATGAATCAGCAATTCAAACTGATTCTTGCCTTCCAGTCCATATCCCATGAAAATTGTCATCAGAAAATTTGGAACCATTCCAACAAAATGTGAGGGCCCTTCATTCCGATGAAAAATAAGTCTATTCTGAAGATGATCATTTATTCTGAGTAGCTGAGCGATTTAATGTTCTATGGAGAAGGTTTTGATGAACATACGAGTCTCAGCAATCTTCAATATTTTTTTCTACGACTTCGGTGATGAAGAGGGTGACAAGTTCTAACTGTATATGTAGATCGAGAGTATGAAAATTCATTTCATCACACGAGGGAGGGAAAGAAAAACTATGCTCCCCTGATTCATAAATAGCTATTTTCTACTAGCGTGCGTGAAGTGGTACTTTTGCAAACTCTCACTATGAAATTTCACAAAATTATCACCCCACAATTATTTGATTTCACAAATATGTCATAAACAGTGTTAGTTCCATTAAGAAAATTAACTGATTTATCATCAATTTTTTTTTCCAGAATCAATTTGGAAGCTCGTTATAACTTGACAGATGAAGCTATAAGGAATATGAGTGATTGGCCACCAGTAGTATTGCAGTACGAAACACATAAAAAGCTTCATCTCGATAAGGATACTTTTCAAGCAAATTTGACTAAATTCAGGTAAATCAATACATTTTATAGACTCTATATGATTATAGTTAGACGATGATACATATAGAAGAGAAAAGAGTATTTATGTAGGATCGAAGATTCAGTGATTCTCGTATCAGGGTGCCTCTATAAGATCTGACTTCTCATGCTTTTCAGAGAGCGAGGACAAACTTGTCATTTCTTCAAACATCTCAAAATAGTTATTTTTGTATCTAGAGCGCGAAATGCTACTTTGGTGATCGAGATCTGATTTTTTTTAACGAGGCGTAGCCGAGTTGAAAAATTAGTCGAGATGACCAAAGTATTTCGCGCTCGAGTTGCAAACAACATTTTTCCTACAAACGTCAAAAAATATGGTTCTGAAGTAAAAATATGCTCAGTTTGATAGAAACAATAGTGTTGAACTGCCATGGAAGGCCTCCCCCTATCCTCCCTAGGTACGCACGATGTTCCACGAACAAAATAGGAATTTCCTTTCCTGCGCTCCAAGAGATAAAACCAAGTTATTGTTGAACATACAGAAATAAATGATTTCGTGGATTTGCTCGATTGAGGACCATAAAGTTGAAATAAAAATATCTCATATATTTTATATCACAATGCGCGAAGTAGGTACTTCGCGCACTGTTTTACTTCGCGCATTGTTTTGTGCAAGGTATCATGGTAACGTAGGAAACTGAAAAAAGTGTCACTTCGCAATTTGTCATCAATGCGCGAACCTTGTCATTTTTTGACGTTTGTAGAAAATATAATATAAGACGCAAAACCTTTTCATGAGAGATGGAACTAGAGTGCATATATATTATTTCTTACTGAAACCCAAACAGTGGCGTATTGCTGGAGGCATTATTATTTGGTTATATATTTTTGTTATCACTATAGGGAGCAATACTTGGTGTTTTTGATAACTGAACTTATATACCTATGTGCATGCAATGGTACCATTAGTACCAACCAGCATAAGGAAAGTTATCTTCGCATCAGGAATGATTAGCCGCATTCAAAAGTGGTTTCTGAAAATTACACAAAAAAAAAAACTCGCAAATATTGTTCAGACCAACTATTCATGGATGCCAAGGTTATGGACGTACGACAACTATTTTGTTTGAAATCAATTTCTTTCATATACTCTAACAGTCAATATAGAAACATACATATAGCACGAGACAGAATGCTGTAGCAGCTTTATATATCCCTGCTACTCATAAAGCAATCGGTCAACGGAGCTTTTGCTTGATAGGATCTAAATATAAAATTTATAATAGATTACCAAATGACCTGAAAAATGAAATATCCAACAGACTTTTTCGAAACCAGCTCAAAAAGTGGATTTACTTCAAGGATAGAAAGTACTTTTCGTATGCTATTGATCCGATTTAGATTTAGAAAGAAGGCATACTCGAAATCTCATAAACAATGCTTATTTTTCAGTCCTTTTCTTGTTTTCACTCATACATATATGTATTAAAAATTCAATATATTATGTGTACATGTGTATTTTCATATTGTATATAGGTATATAGGAGATAAAAAAAAATTAAAAAAAAAGTCTACAGTTTTGTAGGATTACTTTCACTTTGGTTTGTATAACTCTACAGGTAACTTCATTTGGCTAGAATAACATAAATAAGACGCATTCCAGATAGTGAAAATTAATTGATTGTGATCTCCCAGAGACAAGTTCTTCAATGAACTTAGTCGGGTATCCCCTTCTGTTTATTTACTGTCTGTTCATGTCAATTGAGTTGGGTTTTATTATTTCACCTAGACATATGCCACAGGATGTTACCCATTTTTTGTAAAAATTCTTCTTGTAAATGAACAGTCATTTATTCATTCATTCATTCTCGGTAAACAGTGGCAACCAAGAAAGGGGGGCAGTAGATGCTAATGTTTCTCCTTTTTCATAGCCATCTTTATCATTCAATTCTCATCATCAATCAATCGATAAATATCGTCGTTTTTCCACCCCATAATGTTATAGCCTGAATGACTATATATTTTCACTTATTCACTGTTTGTATATGATAGCGCCAACTTCGAATTATCAAGCATAATATTTCACAAAACTTCAACAGCTGTTTTTCATCAAATATGTTGAATATACTATGTCTATTTGAAAAATCGGCGAGCTATGAAATATTTGTTTGTCAATAAGTTCACCTAGTGAATCTTTTCGGTTCAATGCAAATTCTTCTCTCTATAGTCTCGTTCTATTTGCTTCATTGTAAATTCGAATAGGCGGTCAAACAATAATTTTTTGAATTTTGGTAATCAGCGCCGGAACATTCAGATATTTTACATGGACAAATAACAATTCTTAACATTGCATTTCCACAAATCTTGACAATATGGGGTTGTACACACTAGTCAAGTGTTCGCAACATTCAATCAGTTTCAATATTGATCTTTCCATATAATGATAATAATAATAATAACAATAATGATAATAATAATGAAAATTTGTTAATTTTGCATATGTACCGCTGAATTTACAGGGTTCATTCAAAATCATGAAGTGAATAATTCTCGGAATAATTATGAATTCAAAAAATAGATAGGTAAAATATTCGTTTTAAGAATTCACTAAACTTTGGGGTGCTATACAATTTTGAGAATTTTCAAAGTGATAGAATGTATGCATAAACCATTTAACATTTAACCAACTTTGAAAACTAAAAAACTTTGACCTTCTACCACAGTTGAGAGAATATTAGTGCTTCTACCCACCGTATCCCCATTACGGAACCAGATTAGGATCATGCTTGAAAACATTGCCATTCCAGTTCATTTCATTGTATTTTAACGCATTTTGTTCAAGAATAAAATCTAAGCGAAACATAGGAAATATTAACATGTTTTAGAAATGATGTGCTCATTTATCTCAAAAAAGGTTAGTTCCTCGAAAGTAATTGTAGAACAAGAAAGCCTCTAAATTGAACGAAGCACCCAATTTGATGACTGAGAAATTTTAGTGGCGTACTACGAAGTTTGGAAAAAAGCCTCTGTCCCCAAAAACGTATAACCCTGTAGATATTGAGAGATTGTACTCACTATGAAGTCATCCCCATCTCTCCTTATACGTCTACTGCCTTAACCTTTTCTTATACAGGGTCGCTGATTTGAATGGAAACAGGTGAATATCTTAGTAACCTGTTGTTGGATTTTTTTGAATTTATGTACAGTGTGATTCCAAAACGTGGCGGATTTGGAAATGTTATAGCCAATGTTGCCACTTTTTCAGTTATTCCGGATTTTTTATTCTTATCTCCTTATTTTGAATAAAACACCCAGAACTTTATTGAATTTTCAGATTCTCCTTGAAGAGCTGATTCCATCGACCTATCACACTTGGGGGTCTAGCGGGAATGATTACATAGGTATAGGGTGTTCAAAATCTAGATTTCTCAACTTCAGGATTTTTTGTGTCGAAACTATCCATTATCGATCGAAACCGCTCCGATGTTCCTATCTTTACTTTTGATTTACAATTTACTAACATTTAATTGGAACAAATACAGGGTGGTTCAAGATTCAGAATTCTGATCACCCTCTGTATCTGTTCCATTTAAATGTCAGCAGATAGTAAATCAAAAGTAAAGATAGGAATATTAGAGCGGTTTTGATCGATAATGGATAGTTTGATACAAAAAAATCCTGAAGTTGAAAAATCTAGATTTTAAACACCCTATACACCTATGTTATCATTCTCGCTAGACCCCAAGTGTGATAGATCGATGGAACCAGCTCTTCAAGGAGTATCTGAAAATCCAATAAAATACAGGGTGTTTTATTCAAAATGAGGAAGTTAATAAAATTCCGGAATAACTGAAAAAGTGGAAACATTGGCTATAACACTTTCAAATCCGCCACATTTTGAAATCACACTGCGCATAGATTCAAAAAAATCCAACGACTGGTTACCGAGATATTCACATGTTTCCATACAAATCAGCGACCCTGTATATACGAATACGTTCGAAATCGTGATTCATTTCCTTCATTACAACACCGAAAAGATAGAGATAAGATGAAAATCCCGAGTTCCGAGTGAAAAAAAAAGATTAAGAATATCACTACCCTCTGTGAGAAATTACCATCCAAGTAGAGACCGCATGGTTCTGAGAGACTTACACTGCTCACAAAGATTGATTGCGATAGTATAGTAGTATCAGTGGAATATAAAATGTTTACCGCTCAACAGTGGTGATTGGATTGCTTCTTCTCTTCAAATACTCCAATATCGAGGAGAGCAAGATAATAGTCATGAATAAGGCTAATGACGCCTCCATGCACAACCAGTTGAATGACATTATAGTTCTCTGCAGTAGGTAAAATCACAAAAACCTAACAATCATCAAATTTCACATTTCTGAGGTGGCAATGATTGTGTGATGTTTTTTTTTGTTTTGCAGGCAAACTGTGAATGAAAGCACGGTTATGGACGTATTGGGTTGGTACACCTCTGTAAATGCTGCCCTTCTAGACCATCTCACTAACCAAATCAAGGAGAACGACAACAGTGGCGTTTGGAGGTGGGATAAAGTATTGAATTTGTTATTCTAGGGTTTGAAATACAATAGATGTGTCTCAATAAGTAAACAAAGTATAATAATATAAATAAGAGAAATAATTGTCAGAAAATTGTAAAATGGGCACAGAGGATATGTCAAAAAGATGGGTCAGACAAAACTTAATGAATGAAAATTGATGTCCATATAAGGAACCGAGATTCAATTATCAACTTGCATGATCACCACCGAATGAGTTGGAGAGTTGTGACAGTGTGTCAAGCCTATATTTTCTCAATAAAGGCGAAACTCAGTATGCCTGGCATAACAATGTATGATACCAACATTCCCACCAAGCCAATAATATCTATGCTTGGTGTCTCCATCAGCAATACTCTTTTATGGGATAATTTTGTCAGATCCATCGCCAAAGCTGCTTCACAAAAACCCGGATTTTTATTCCATGCGAAAAGCCAATTTACACCTCAACAGCTTCCCATGATTTACAATGCACATATACGACCTGTTCTAGAATACTCGCATATAGGGTTCAGCCACCAAACATACTTTGATGCACTTAGATTCCATCCAGAGGAGAGCCATTCGCCTGGTGGATGATGCCACACTATCACTAACACTTTGACTTCATTGGAACACCGTAGGAAGGTGGGCGACCTTCCACTTTTATATAGATACTCCGACGAGTAATGTTCTTCCACGACTAGCAATACCAGTCAGACGAACTCGACAAGCGCAGATATCACATACTTTCGTTGTCAACCTCGAAATATGAAACAGGAATATTTCAAAACTCGTTTCTCTATAGAACGGAACAGCTCTGGAATTGATTTCAAAGCAAAATTCCAATACTTATATTTACATTATAGGGATTCCCTTTCGTGAGCACCAAGCGATAAAAAAACAAAGACGTTCAAACAACCTATTTATACAACTTCATACTCTTGCCACTAGATAGTTCTGATGAGATCTGGTTGTTCCTATCAAATTATACAGAATATACTATGCGCTCTACCTCAGAATGTGTATAATATATGTTCATATATGTTGACCATTACGTGCATTCTTGCTTGCCCCATTGACACTATCAGCATCACTCAAATTATTCATTATTTCCAGATATCTGTTGGCCTTCAAAAACTTGCTGAAAAGCATCGAAAGCACAGGAATAGCGAGCGTGTATGGTGTCAACTACTTCGGTCAAGGCCGCCTCCAGCTATTGAGCTATATCAGCTTCGTGACTCATTCTGCATTAGCCAATGATCTGCTCAACACTGCCTTCAATTATGTGCCGCAAATGAAGAAGGAATATCAAGATTTGGCTGCTAATATGCCCAACTATGGCAATATCCAACTCAGGTACAGCTTGACCAGTCTAGCTTGGCCTCTGAGAATTGGATGCGCAGTAAACCAGCCGGCGGAGTGTAGCGAGAGCTTATTATTGTCGAAGAATTGGTTCAGTGAACATCGGTTAAAACAGTACAGTACGATTTTATTTCCCAATGAAAAGGCGTCGTGGATCTCTGTCGCACACTAACCATCTCTGTTTATCGTTTGCGCTACTCAGGGGCCAAGCTAGAATGGTCCAGCTGAACGAAATAGTTTATTTCCGTAATTCCATATACTGTTATCTTGATAAAACGGTATTCAGATGATAGATAGATAGATTATCTTTATTCACGTATAACCTTCAACAGGAAGTGAAAAGTCACAGCCATAGTATTAACAATCATATATACATGAGAATATTACATACATACATCAGTTTGTGAGGAAAAGGAAATTTCAATAACAATTCCTGCAATATATTCATGATTGTAGGTATTCCTCTATAAAATAAAATGAATTTTCTTCAAGGTATTTTATCAACAATGTCTTGAATTGAGTACATTATCAACATTTTGTGAATCTGCTGGAATTTTGTTGTAAATAGTGCTGCAGACAAATACAGGACCTTTTTTAAAAGTTGTTAGATTAAAATTCCTGATATGTATATTACAAGCGTTCCTTGTGTTGTGGTTATGGATGCTATTGTTAGGTGGAAACGAAGATATATTAACTGAAAAGTCAATGTTAACAGCCTCCGTCCGTTAAAATTGTTTAACGGCTGGCGGCAGTTATATGATATTGTGATATTTTCAAGTTGTTCCATGACAACACAATGTTGGGATTTTTTGTAGAATTACCAGGTACTTGGTTTGTCCTTTTCTCGGAATCAAAATGTAATCTTTCAGCGGGATTACGAAAAGTCTTGAACGACAGAATAGATGCCGATACGAAAATAACGGATTCAGTAGTTTGCTACCTATCGGCATCGGCCTTGTGAAGATGATAAGTGTATCAGCATTCATTTGATCAACGGTATAAGTGAACAATCAAAGTGTCAGCGATTTCAAATCAATGTAATGGTTGCAACATTTATATGCCTATCGCTCTGTTTATGATCACTTATTTCCGAAGTGATGAAAGAAACCAATGACATCAGCTTTTGAAATATCTGGAAATCTCAGGAATCATTATTGATTTACAATATGGCTTTCACTATCGAAGATCAACGTGAGACCAACTGAAGATTCACTCACCTACGTTACTCATATATGACAAGCTTCTAAAAATAACATTAGGAAGCTCTAGCTGTGGCGTTGAAGATATCGAGAACATTCGACTGTGTTTAGCACCAAGGACTTCTCCACAGACATATAGTGGTGAGGTGGATTCCATATCAATGACCTGTTGGGAATAATCCCTGTTCAAAACTTCGCATATGAAAGTACTATCCATACTGCCTTTTCTTCCAGAATTCCCAGCTTCCCAGGAAACTTGGAACTCACAAAGAAGGCAGGACAACGCTGTTAATGAGGAACCTATTTGAATTCATCGACACGAAAATTCGAGCCTAGATTTTCCCTAGAAAGGCGAAACAATATACCTGATGTATCGATGTTTGGCGCCACTATTTCCACAAAGTCCACCATATCCATATGATCGGTATTTCATCAGCATTATAACAAAATCATCACAAACACTCGGATTTTCATTTTGTGCGAAAACCTACTTTACAGAAATGGAATATTCTGAGATAAAATTATGAACATGGAAAAATATATATAAATATATATGAAGAAATACATTGAGAATTTGCATTCTCTATGCGATGAAAAAACAATTCTTTCTCGGTTGATTCAACAGGAAACAACTTCTTTTCTAGCTATATGCCACGACGAACATTGAATTATATCTATTAAACACACACAGATGAAAATTTTTTTATATGCACATGATGTTATTCTGAATATTCAACAGAAAACAACTACTTTCTTGGCTATTTGCCACGTCGACCATATCTGATGCACATCCGAAAAATCCTCTGAAATTGAGAATCGACATTCTCTCAAATCTGATGAATAATGTGATGTATTATGATATAAAAATAAAGCTTACCAATATGTCCAGTAATAAAATGAAAATTGAAATGTATAGGAAAAGTAAACTTATATAAACTCTGATCTTGATGAGCTTGGAACATCCAAGAAAACAAAACATTCGTATCAGTGATATGGGAATTATATCTCTCACCAACAGGATACATGACTTTATTCGAATCAACTCATTTCGGATTTCACACCCTCCTGGGTAACCTGAAGTCCAGTTATCTCAAAGTCATTCTTCATGATAAACACAATTCTCATCTCTCTATAATATCACTAGAAATCAGACTGACATCTGAGAATTCTTGTTGACATTCGATCCCTGTCATCTGGTTTTTGTTTTTGGATAAATGACGAGATGATATTCCTTTCACATTTACATTCACATTTTACAATCTACATTTACACCCCAACAGCTTTTCATGATCTACTAAGCACAGAAACGGCCCGTTTCAGAATACTATTCCCATACATTCTGGAGTTCGGTAAGATAGAGTAGGCCCTGATTCAACACCCAAACATACATTGATGCTCTTAGATTCCATCATCCATTATCCAGCTCATAATACCCATTTCAGCAAAGAATCTAATATCAACCTTCTCCCTGTATCCTTCCTAAGGTAAGCAGTTCTTCGAACATATCAGTGATACTTATCTCAGTTTTCATGAGTAAATGCAAGTTATTTTGAACGATATTGTGTCTTTATACGCGTGTACCGATACGGTAACGCTAGGCGTCTACATTATCGTAACTCTGAATTCCTCTGAATTCCTCATTCTTATTACGTGATTTTAGAGATGCGTATAACATCGTTTTTCAATATTTGACTTTGCAAAAGATTCTAAAGTTTTGCCGTTCTGCTGACTGAAGAGTTTTGGTAAAGAGCTGTTCAACAAATCTGAAGGTTAACGAGAAAATTATTTGCGGAATGAGCTTGTGATAATGATGGACGTTATTTCTGAACATTAACGTGGGAGCATCTATTGTCCGCGATGTTCAAATGATGTCAAGGAATTGGTCTTTGAATTGAATTTTAGAGTATCCGCGTATGTTTGGATGCTGAACCCCATAATTATGTGGGAATAGTTTTCTGAAACGAGCTTGTTGAGAATTCTACATAATCTGTAATCTTTAACAGGATCATGTTTTTTCGTTACTGAGCATTTGTAATATTGATGGTTGCTTAACAGTGTCATACATGCTATAATCCCAGAGGAACACATTGACTAACTACCTATGGAATGTGTTCAATCATCCCAATGGCCATCATCCTCATCCACATTAGTTAAAATCATCATATTTTCGAGTATTGTGTTGCTTGAGAAAGTTATTTATAAATTTCAGGAACAATATAATCCTGCAAAATGTACAAAGGAATGCAAGTGACCTCAAAGCTCGAGAATACTTCGACCTAATGGCAATTTACACAGACGAACTGAGGAAAATACAACGATCACTTCGTGTCATCATCCAGTAAGTATAATAAACTATCAACTCAATTCAAATTAGGCGTTTACGTAGTAACAAAGCTAGGTACTAGACTGTGGTATACTAGTTAGAAAGTAATATTCGCTGCTAGCGTGGAAAGTTAGATATAATTTTCCTTGGTGTCGATTCAGGAACCGTGCAATGAGAGTATGACTATATTACGAATTCAACTGGTCAGTACTGTCAGTAGATTTACTCACTGCTGAAAATCTGTGTTCCGAAATATAAAATCAAAAATACAGTGCTGTAATTCGGATCACGTTTTCACGGTTTTCATCAGTAATCAGCAGCGTTGATCAGCTGGTGAAATTTGAATATCATTCTCATCGTCAATCATTCGAATAATAGGAATTTTTTGTTATCAAAAATGATATTATCAATTTATTATTAATATGACAAGACTTAATGTTTAAGAAACAACGGGAATAATGAAATAAATGCAACATTCCTTCCCCCTCTAAAATAATGACAGTTCACTGAAGGTACACGCCACACTACCTTTCGATAGTCAGCAATTTCAGCAGAATGTTGAGTCGAAATATTTATGTTTGGGATAGTATGTCTGCTCGCAAGTGTAGCAGGCTTCTGTGTTGTTAGGTACGACTTGTAATATCTTATCAATTTATCCAACCTTGTACCGTTCACATTACAAATATTTATATTAGTCACTTTGAGTATGGGTCGAGTCAGATGCCTTTCCATTGGCTGGTGCCACACAAATATCTGTCACTTTCAGTGAAGTTTCTGATTTCCGAATGAAAAATCAGCAGATTCAGTACTGTCATGCAGTTTTTTTATTTTTTATTTTATTTGGATATAATATCTATATAATATATTTTTACAATATGTTTTGCATTCTTATAGCTATATATTAGAATTATGACACCTAGGTGAAAACACACCTGTATGTGTCTTGAATGGAAATGTTCGAAATGTACATGAATATTTTAGTGAAATAGATTGAGGTGAACTGTTCATGTTTATATGACATGTTTTAGAGTATACAGAGAAACTAAAAATATATACATCATCCTAAGAAAATATTATTATACAATTTCTAATAGTTTTGGAAAAAATGTATTTTGCAGATCTTTTCGAATCTATATTTTTGTAACAATTTTATATCTAACGGTAGAGTATTGTAACATTTGGGTCCTAAATAGTTCACACAATTTTTGAAAAACTCACTGTTCGGCTTATCAACTCCAATATGCATATTAGATACAGCTCTAGTGTCATGACTATGATCGATAGGAATTTTTAGGGATTCATGATTTTTCAGGTGACAACATACTGTATAAATGAATAAACATCCAATATTAGAAATTTTCTCATTATATAGTAAATGAGTTGGATACAACCTGTCTCTTTTATAAATAATCTTCAATATTTTATTTTGTATAACATTTAAGGGCCTTAGTGCTCTGTCATGCCGCCCCATACTAAGATTCCATAACATAGAATAGATTCTACTAAACTGTAATATAATGTTATAAGCAGGCTTATACTGAGAAACTGCTCAAGGAGGAAGAATTTATAGATCAAGAATCTGAGTTTTTTTGATATATACATTACATGATAGTCCCATTTTAAGTTCTGGTCAATAATGATGCACAAGTATTTGGTAGTTTCAGTCCCTTGTATTGCAGAGGTTAGATTATCACACATAATTTCTTTGAAGTGAGGACGATCTGCGGATGTTTTAGAGAAGGCAATAAAGTTTGTTTTATTTACATTAAGTGACAATTTGTTAGTATCTAACCAGTTTTTGACGTGTTTCATTCCTGCTATCGCGCGTCACCTCACACCTTCCCAGTCTTTATCACTGAAAGTTAGTACAGTATCATCAGCATATGATATAACTTCGCCTTGAATATAAATGTCAGTTAGGCTTTTAATGTATAGGTTGAAGAGTATGGGCCCTAAAACTGTGCCTTGTGGAACCCCAATTTGCACAATTTCAGGTTTACTAATGGTATCCCTGATCTTTACTGTTTGCTTTCTTAGGGTGAGATAACTCTCAAAGATCTTGAACACGGTACCTCTCACTCCATTTTGTTCAAGAACGTTTAGGAGGTTCTGATGTGGTACCGTATCGAAGGCCTTTGCTAAGTCCAAGAAAATACTTATACATTTATTTTTATTATTCATCTCATTGGCGATGTGCGATATCGATTCATGCATTGCGTCACTTGAGTTGACACCCTCAGTAAAACCATATTGTTGTTTTGGGAGTATGTTATTAACTTTCAAAAAATTCATCATGATGATGAATCAAGGAATCACGCATAGGCTGACTTCTATAGAGACTGAATCCAAAAACACACAAGGCCTTCCAACGATAAGTTGACCCACTCCCCCCTTCAACTATAGGAAACCGAATTCTACCCTACTTTCAAAACATCATTTTGGAGCCCTTTCAATTGCAAATACTTTCGTGCATCGGTTTTGGAAATCAGTTGAGTAATTGAACACACTCGATACTTGATATTGTGAAGTTTCTGGTATACTTATATAAAAAAACTAGAATGGAGAGACACAGCAGTGTCGAGCTGAATTATTGACTTGATTGATTGATTGATTAATGTCAGAATGATCAGTCAGGGTTCGAAGCTCAAAACACTGCAGCCATTGGGCCTATTGTATTAATGCTCATGCTGTTGACTAAGGTGAACAGGTTCGCTACCTTGATAAGGTTTAGCAGCCTCTTCAACAAATCATTCTTTGGAAATGCCTCTTGAGAGTTTACATACCTATATATGTTTCTCATCAGGGAGTACGTGAACGAAAATCTACGAGATTCAGCACACAGAGAAGCCATCGGGATCGGAACGCTCGTTCTCGTTTTGTCAGTTTCTCCAGTGATCATCTGGCTAGTTCGGAATGCAGTGGCCACTATTCAGGTGACTATCCCTTCGATACTTCCATCGATGATTTCGGTAACCGTTTGCTTAGTTATACGCTGCTAATTTGGCCAAAAAGGCCAAGGAACTCAAAGTAGAAAAGAGGAAGAGCGATCTGCTGCTCTTCCAAATGTTGCCGCCGAGTGTAGCGACGCAGTTGAAACAAACAAGACAGGTAATAATCACAAATTATTTCACTGCTAGATGACTGATAGAACTGATGATTTCTGTAGAGCTGATTGCCTCGATCTGAATACGAGATGAGAGGAATCGGTAATATATCTTATTGTAGATAACAACTGAATTGATAAATATACAAGAAAAACGCTGAAGAACATATTATATTCCCATAACTTCAACGTAGAACTTTCAATAGAATGATATCATGAGTGACCATCTTCCCCTGTCTTTTCAGGTTCATTCTTTTATTTTTCTTTCCTCGTAAAAAAGCTGAGATATCAAGTTTTGCTAACATTGAACATACAAGAAAATGCGAAAGGAGGAATACAAATTACCGTGATCAAGAAGATCAACATGAATAAATTTTATATATTTCCAGGTACCAGCTGAATACTATGCTTCAGTCACGGTATATTTCAGTGATATTGTCGGATTCACTGAAATTGCCGCAGTGAGTACGCCTTTAGAAGTAAGTTTATACCTCTTATTACTACCAGGTCCGGCAGAAAGGACGGATGATTTTGAAAAATATCATAGCTTAGATTAATTTCTCTTTGGAACAATACATGAAATACCTCTGTTTCGTGATTTGGGGCAGTTTCAGATCATCAAGTATGAAAAACAAGGTCTGAAATATCATAAGACCCAACAATATTCACCTCGAAAAAATTAGAAGTGTGATATCGATAGATTAGCAGAGCTAAGTTTATGTATGGTATATTCCTTCAGAATTTCATCATGACAGCAGGCGGCGTATGTTTTTTGCTGCAGCTTGACTTCTGAAAGAATATACAGGAAAATCCTCACAGTCACTGTATATATTTCTAGTGCTTCCAAGTAGTTTCCTCTCCTTATATAATTTACCTTAGAAGTAACTGTATACTAGAGTCCCTGTATGTATAATTCCCTGTATATATTTGTCAGTTTTGTTGTAATAAGAGTACGGACTTTTGAACAAAGACATGGATATGCTTTTCCATGCACTTCGGATCTTCTATCCTCTACTGCCGCGGTGAAAGGTACATCCATATATCTTTCTCTGTCTTCATTTTCATAAAGAAGTGGCGTCTCATCTCACTGGCGAAAAGGGGTCATAGTTTGTAAATCAATTTGTTGAAAGTATTTCTCGATATACTTAACAAAGGGTATATGTACTTGTTGGTTAGAATGGGGGAAATGGAATAAATGAAAGGACTCGCTTCCATTTTTGCAATTCTCCACTACACAATTAGACATTTTAATTTTTGAAAACCTGAATTTTCGAATAATTTAATGTCATGTACGTTCATGAACTGTCAGTGCCCGCCAAATTGTTCATGTCATTTCAAATTTTTTAGGGTTATGCCTTCTGTCACTGCTTGTCATAGTGTCCGTACTCTTATTACAGCAAAAGTGTAAAATACATACAGGGACTCTACTGTATACTACATGTAACAACATTCAGATATATTTCAGGTAGTGACGTTTCTCAACAAAATATACAAACAATTCGATGCTAGGATAGAGTGTTATGACGTCTACAAGGTTGAAACAATCGGAGACTCTTATATGGTTGCTTCTGGATTACCGGTTAAGAATGGTGAGTACTGAACTTCAATTTTAGGTGAGTCTTGAATCACTTGTTCGAGAAACGTTAGTCCCGTGTAATTACTTTGGCAATAATGAAACAACCTATCCCCCCTAGGAACGCACGATGTTCTTTGAACATTATAGGGATTCCCTTTCGTGCGCTCCGCGATAAAAAAAATTGAAAAAAAACATACACTAGAACTGGAATTCAACTTCTTATTGCAAATTGAACACCCTGTATTCTTATGACATATCTAAAATGAACGGTTTCTATAGTAGTTAGTGAAAATTGTGCCTCGAAACGAAATAATTATTTCCTAAGATATTCAAATTG